CAGCGTCCTAATGCGATATGTAGAAACTTGGAATTTGTAAGTACGTGTCGTATGTAACGCTTATTTTCCTTTTCTTTATAAAAACAATTTAAAAAAAAGATCTCAGAAGCTAAGCAGAGTTGGCAATGGCTAGTACTGCGGCGCAGTGGTTAGGAGCGGCGGACTCTAATCTGGAGAACCGGGTTTGATTCCCCACTTCTCCACACGCAGCTAGCTGGGTGACCTTGGTGCCAGTTTGGTGTCGTGGTCAGGGGTCGTTGCGTAGAAAAAGAGCTAGGGGAACTCATTAGCATAACTCATTAGCATCTGCCACACCCCGACATCACCGGAAGTGTGTCATAAGGCCACCCCCCCTGAATGCGCTCGCCCGCTTCGGGAGAGGGGATCAAAGTGTAATACAAGCCTCCTCCAAGACTTGATCACACCAATCTCAACTCTCTCTTGGGTCTTGATGCCTGCCAGTCATTCCCCCTGCCTGGGGGAAGCCGCGTTGGACCAAAATACAGTCCAAACTGCTGTAAGGAACACCCGTCCACCCTGAGCACTTACAGGGTGCGTCAAATCGCCATTTTACCCCGACCAGAAGCAGGGGGCGGGGCTTCGTCGTGTGCCCCAGTGTGGGCTAGCTTACAGTTTTTTAGCCACTGGCTCACACATTTTTGCCTTAGCTCAGGAAGGAGGGCTCCAGAGCAAACTGATTTATGCAGCAGCCAAATTGCTTGCTCACCACTTTAATGCCCGTAGCTCACAAAGTAGAATTTTTGCTCACAAGACCCCACAGCTTAGAGGGGGGATTGCTCACAGGGTGTCTGTTGTGGGGAGGGAAAGGAGTTTGTAAGCCGCTCTGAGACTCCCTCGGGTAGTGAAAGGTGGGGTATAAATCTAATCTCTTCTCTTCAGTCACGGTTCTCTCAAGAGAGCAGTTTCTCTCCGAGCTCTCTCAGCCCCACCTACCTCACAGGCAACGTTCCCTCTAAGCTGTGGAGTCTTGTGAGCAAAAATTCTACTCTGTGAGCCACTGGCATTAAAGTTGTGAGCGAACGATTTGGCTGCTGCATAAGTTAGTCTGCTCTGGAGCCATCCTGCCTGAGCTAAGACAAAAAACTTGTGAGCCGGAGGCTAAAAAAAATGTGAGCCAGCTCACACTGACTCAGCTCAGAGGGCACATGGTGGGGAGGGGAAGGGAAAGGAGTTTGTAAGCCACTCTGAGACTCCTAGTGAAGGTCAGGATATAAGTCCAATCTCCTCCTCCTCCTCTTCTTGGATGGGAAACCTCCAAGGAAGTCCAGGGTCACTATGCAGAGGCAGGCAAACTCTGTTCAGTCTCTCATCTTGGAAAACTCAACAGGCATCACCCAAACCACCTTCTAAGTGTAAATCCCACAAGCCGCGCGTGAACTCTGTGACACATCATTCAGCAAAGCGGCCACATTTGTGAGTTGCTGCCAGAAACTGTTGCCATGGGGGGGGGGGGG